GGGTTGGTCCTGCTTTGAGCAGGGGGTTGGACTAAATGACCTCCTAAGGTCTCTTCCAACCCTAATCTTCTATGATTCAGTTAATATTAACAACAAGAGGGAAGGAATGGAAGCCAAAATAGGGAAAAAACAGGTTAAAGAAATATTTAGATAAGTTACATGTATTCAAGTCAGCAGGGCCTGATTAAATTTTTCTTAGATTACTCAAGGAACTAGCTGAAGCAATTTTGGAACTGTTAGTTATTATCTTCAAGAACTCACGGAAGACAGATGAGGCCCCAGAGGACTGGAGAAGGTCAAACATAGTACCTGTCTTTAAAGGGGGAACAAAGAAGACCCAGGGAATTATAAACCAGTCAGCCTAACTTTTATATCTGGGAAGATACTGGAACAAATATGGGTCACCCTAACCATCACTGCAGTCTGGCAAGGTTGGGTACTGGAGCCCCGACAATATGAGAGAAGGAGGAGGGGCTGCTACCTTAGGTGGTAATGCTATCTCTGGTAGCAAGTATTGTGCTCAGTGCTATGTCACTGACCTGTCTCTGAAGAGTGGAGGAGAGGGAGCTTTCATGAAGAAGACATGGCTTTGCAGACCGTGGCAGACACAGAGGTGTTATTGAGGCAGGTCAGCTGAGGAACTCTAATGAGGGTCCCTGCTACCCAGCAATGAGAGGAGTAATCAGTGCAGCTGGGTGAACTGGTATAGCTCCCGGAGCAGATCGGGCAGCGCTTTCCACTGGGGCTGGAGATAGACCTGCCTGAATTCCGCTTAGCCGTGACAACAAACCGTGAGTAACGTTTTCTTTGTTTTGTACAATGGACTCAGTGCTTGTGAGGAGAAGTGTTGCCTGTCGGGGCACCTCAGGGGTATGTAGTTTTCCTAGGTTTCTGGGCAGGGGCATGAGTCAGTGTTGTTTGCTACATTTTCAGAAGGAACCTTAGACATTTGAACCAGCCCTTTGTACTGCCTGTAACCTCTGGTACAAGGGTCACACTGATTTTTGTTGCTGGTTTTCAGGAGTTATTGCAAGATGGGTTAGGTCCTTCTTAATTTACATTCCTGAGTCCTTTCCCTGTTCTCATCCCCTTGTTTTAGCTTACCTTGTTCCTATCCAGGGATTAAACTGTTTGTTTTTATGTGGACTGAGATTCAATGTGTGACGGATTAGATCACAGAAACCCGCTTGGGAGCTGCCACCTGAAGTGCAAAGACTACTTCTACCCCTGCCTTCCCTGCCAGCTCAGGACTCCAGCACCCTGTCTTGCTGAGCCAGACACTCCTGTCTGCTCCAACACAAACCCAGGGTCTGAATTACTTGCCCCAATGCTGCAAGTTTACCTGAAAGCAGCTAACAGAAGTATTCCTGTCTTTAGCACTCAGATGCCCAACTCCCAGTGGGGTCTAAACCCAAATAAATCCGTTTTACCCTGTACAAAGCTTATGCAGGATAAACTCAAAAATTCTTCGTCCTCTATAACACTGATAGAGAGATATGCACAGCTGTTTGCTCCCCCAGGTATTAATACATACTCTAAGTTAATTAATAAGTAAAAAGTGATTTCATTAAATACAGAAAGTAAGTCACCAAGCAAAATAAAATAAAATGCGCAAATCTATGTCTAATCAAACTAAATACAGATAATCTCACCCTCAGAGATGCTTCAGTAAGTTTTTTCCTCAGACTGGACACCTTCCAGGCCTTCTTTCCCCTGGAACAGCTCTTGTTCTAGCTCAGGGGGTAGCTAGGGAATTCTTCATGATGACTCCTCTCCTGCTTTGTTCTCCTCCACCCCTTTATATATCTTTTGCATAAGGCAGAAATCCTTTGTCCGTCTGGGTTTTGACCCCCCCTCACTGAAAAAGCACCAGGTTAAAAGATAAATTCCAGTTCAGGTGACATGATCACATTTCACTGCAAGACTTCATTGTCCACTTGCCAGCACACATCTATACAGGAAAACTTACAGGTAAAACAGAGCCATCTGCAGTCAGTTGTCCTGGTTGATAGGAGCCATCAAGATTCCAAACCACCATTAATGGCCCGCACTTTGCATAATTACACTAGGTCCTCAGAGTTATATTTCATATTTCTAGTTTCAGGTACAAGAGTGATACATTTATACAAATAGGTTGACCACACTAAGTAGATTATAAGCTTTGTAATGATACCTTACAAGAGACCTTTTGTATGAAGCCAGCTATGCCCCTCTGCTATGTACATCGGCCAAACTGGACAGTCCCTACATAAAAGGATAAATGGACACAAGTCAGATATTAGGAATGGCAATATACAAAAACCTGTAGGAGAACACTTCAACCTCCCTGGCCACACAATAGCAGATTTTAAGGTAGCCATCCTGCAGCAAAAAAACTTCAGGACTAGACTTCAAAGAGAAACTGCTGAACTTCAGTTCATTTGCAAATTTGACACCATCAGCTCAGGATTAAACAAAGACTGTGAATGGCTAGCCAACTACAAAAGCAGTTTCTCCTCCCTGGTGTTCACACCTCAACTA